GAGGAACAGAAATGCTGACTCCCGTTTTTGAAGCACTTGACCCCAGGCACGTAGCAAACATGGTCTTGAATCTTTCAGGGTTATCCTACAAAGTAGGATTATCTGTACCTATTTTACAGATGAATAAACTGATACTCAAAAAGCCTGGACGCAGCCTAAGCAACCATCAAACAAGGACCGGCTAAATACATTGGGAGCATTTGTACAAATGCAGTCCCATCCAGGCAGCTGTAAAAAGAAAAAAAAAAAAAAAAAAAGAATGAGGAAATGCTTTACGTGCCGAGGCACACAAGGCTCTCTAACCATAATCCACCATTAAGGGAAAAAAAAAGCAAAGTGCAGGATGGTGCATATAAAATGAGTAAAAGAGAGAGATCATATGTGTTGCTCAAATATGTATAAGCTAGCTCTGGAAAATACAAAAACACTGGTTGCCACCAAAAAAGGGGAACTAGTTGGCTGGGAGATAAAGGTAGAGGGAGACTTATTTTCCTACCTATCGCTCTTTTATATTTTGGGTTTTGAACCATAAGAATGTACTAGCAAGTCAATTTAAACAAATTTAAATTTAGAAAGGAAGAATGGAAACTGGCTAATAGAAGTCAAATGACCTGCCCAAGGCCAGGCAGCATGTGGGTGGCAGAGCCCAGAGCCCAGGAGCCTGCCTTATTCGCACCTTGCTTCTGCTCTCTTCCCCCTCCTTCTGCCCCGCTCCCCTATCCTCGATGGCTCAGGCCTCCCCAATCTATCCCAGAGGATGGACTAGAAATGGAGGGAGTCCCTGGGAAGCAGAAGCACAGAGCAGCTTCTGCTCTGCTGCACGGCTGGGCCCCTGGGCCATTGCTGGGCTCCCTTGGCTGCCAGCACAGCACCGGGAACACCAGAGGTCAAATCAAATGCCAGAACCTGGCTGCGCTCTTAGATACGGTGCTGGATCTCTGTCCACCCTCTTCTCCCTCTCTTCATCGATCTCCTCACTCACCTTTATGGGGATCTTTCAGCTTCTGGTTGTTCATCCACTGACCTCAGACTCATTCGACCTAGACAAGTAGGAAGGATTCTTGGGTGGTTGCAAGGGACAGACAGAGCTCATGGTCCTGCAGCGGGTGAAGGGGGGCCTGGGTTGCAGGCCAGGGGGGATGGGCTGGGCAATGAAGCAGAGCCTGATTCTGAGGCTATTCCCCAAGGTGCCAGGGCATGGGGCAGTTTCTCCTTTGCCCTGGGACTTTGCAGGGGTCCTTGCAGACTGGGAACATATAGGGTGGTGAGGCTGAGAAGAGTAGCTGAGAGTTTCTCTGTCCCAGGAGGGAAGCAGGGCTGATGGTAGGAGGTGTCCAAGAACCATCGCTGTCACCTCTCTGGCCTTGGGATGGAGCTTAAGCCAGGGCAGGGCTCCTGAGCAGAATCTGACAGGATGCTGCCCAAAGAGGCACCTGGAAAAGACCCCTGAGGTCCTGAATCCTCTTTGCTTCCACCTCCTACCCCCCTCGCACCTGCTTCCTGGACTCATACGGAGACAGCTCGACTCTGCCACCTCACCCCCATTCCCACTCCAGAGGGCTACAAAGGAGGCCCTCCAGCTCTCCGAGCCTCAGAGGGCCCAGCTCCAACAGCGTCTCCATTTCTTCATAATACCTCTCCTCCCTCAGCTTCCAAAGGGAGGTGGACTGAGGCAGGTAGGATGGTGGGGACCAGGAAGGACTGGGAACCCTGTGTCCCAGCCTCTGGAGTGAGAACCCAGAGAGGACCATGGGGCAGGGGAAGCGGTGCCGACACCCGGGCAGGGCTGTGCTCTGTGGGCAGAGAGCTGCTCATTTTCCTAGATGTACCTCTTCTCTGAGTGGGTGTCGCCTCTCCCAGTCCCCATCAGGAACTTTCAGTTTGATCACTACAGAGGCAGTTTTGTCTTCTCCCAGGCAGTTCCCACCCCATTTCTCTCGGAGCTGCCACACCCTCCAACCCAACTCTCCCATCTCTCCTATGAACCCCAAGACCCAAAAGACCTGGGCGGGGGGTGGCGTTTGGGCTGGGTTCTCTGGCATTCTATTCCCTTCCTCAGAGAGCTGGAGAAAGAAGCTTCTGGGATTTCCTCTCCGGCTCCCACACTCTTGCCTCAGTTTCCCAGAATGTTTTCCCCCCAACCCCAGTCCAGGCTGAGTTAGCAGCTGGCAAACCTTAAAGAAGCTTCTGGGATTTCCTCTCCGGCTCCCACGCTCTTGCCTCAGTTTCCCAGCATGTTTTCCCCCAACCCCAGTCCAGGCTGCGGGGAGGCTGAGTTCGCAGCTGGCAAACCAACGC